AAAAAAAAAAAAAAAAAAAAAAAAAAAAAAAAAAAAAAACCCTACCTTACCCTTCCTGAACCACATAAACAAACGAACTACGGGCTGCGCACCCGTGGCCTCATGGTAAGTCGATCGACAGGTCATTGAATTGTTTAAAAAATAACCTTCAATGAGTTCAAGAGTTTAGCCTAAGTGCAGCCACAACTGCACTATCCTGCATTTCAAGAGTCTGACAACTCTTGGAAGACCGTTGAACTTTTTCAGGAGTCTATCTAGTGTAGAGCAGCGAGGCCCAGTGCCACGGCCCCGCTGGTGCTATGTTCATGCTAAGAAAGCATGCAGCTGACCTTTCCGAGCACACGCGCGGTTCCAGCACTCTACGGTACTGGCAGTTCACATAATGAAAATGTGAAAGTGAAACTGCTTTCCGTGCGAGTAAGCGCGGAGGTCGTTGACAGAAGAGCGAACGGATGCAAGGGGACTACGGGATTACCAACGGCGTTGTTTGGTAGTTGGCCTATGCGCAAGTATCATCAGACGTTCTTGCGGTTCCTCTGGTATTCGGTAGCCGTCGATTACTTGGGGTTCCTCTGGTATTCGGTAGCCCTCGATTACCCGGAGATCTACGGATATTGACGGGCACGTCTTTGCGCAAAGTAGCCCTTAGATTCATAATACCTGCGCGGTATTCACTCTGCGTGGGGATGCTCGCGTGGGCGGTGTGAACGAGCCGTGAGATGCGCAGAAGCGGCCGGCGACGGCTCGATCCCGATTGTAGACGTCCAGAAGACGGCGTGACCGGTAGATGCTGCAGTTTGGGCCTCGAGCGTCAAGCGTTACAAAGAAAGGGAAAAAGAACAAGAATGGCGTCGACGTCGGCCATGGCCGACGGCCGACCTCGCTCTCTGGTCGCCATAGCGGCGGTTGGCTCACAGGTGTACCCCACCACCACACGTGGCCGTCACTTGCGCAAACCCACCAGCGCGTTTGATCACTCGCAATCACGTTGCGGCAATAAAAGCCTCGTCTTCTTGACGAACTGACTGCGTACTTAAATACCCCCATTTACCCCCATTTAACCCCATTTTTGTGTCCACCTCAGCACTACACATGTCGTCGGCCAGGCCAGGGATGTCTCACCTGCCACGCGATCACGCGAGGTCGGATGCGTGTGCAAACAGGGAGCGTCGAGTACGAGATGCTAACGCACCGTGCTCAACGTGAAGACGACGATGCCAGGCCATTTACCAGGTTGATGTTTCGTTCTTGATACTGAAGTGGGGAGGGGGGGGGGAGGGGGGGATGTGATCCCACCAGAGGAAAGTGCCGCGTACAGCCCACTGATCTATATTTAATCCAGGGCCACTGATCAGTGACCCGCTTGGTTCTGTCTCCTTCGCGCACTGCTTACCTTTCCCACCGTCCTCATCTTCGTTTGCTGATCTTGCCAACTGCAGAGTCAATCTATGACAGTCAGAGCGGGAAGACAACCTTCAGCCATACGCACACTCGTACACACGCACGCACTCACACACATACATACACACGCACACACACACATACATAGCCACGCACAGATGCAGACACGGTCGCACATACAGACACATATACACACACCCTTGCACACACACACGTACACATATGCACACAAACGCGCACTCACACGCGCGCACAGACGCACCGAACACACACACGCACACGCACACACACACACACACACACATACATACAAACACCCACGCACACACACACAAACACACACACACACACACACAGACACATGGTACTACGGGCCCTTTGCCTCTTTTGGAATTCAGAGATTCGAATGGATCAGCCGTTCCTCCTCCGCATGTGTGACACATCTTTTTAATTTTTATTTATGATTGCGTCTGGGGTGCGTTTCAGGTGTGCTAGGTCGGTATTGCCCTCAGGTTTTCTGCACGTACTGGTAAGTACGATGTGATTACTTGTGCGCTCGCTGCTGGGGTTCATTCCGCTCGGCGACACTCGTTTCCCCCGCGTCCGCTGTTCCTTTCCCCCCTCCTCACGCGCCCCCACCTTCTCCCCCCTCCTCACGCGCCCCCACCTTCTCCCCCCTCCTCACGCGCCCCCACCATCCCTCCCAGCAGTGACTTCGAGATCCGTCGCCATTTGCGGTTCGGTTGTCTCTTCTCTTAGACAAGCAGCCATCAATTATTACTGTAGTAAGTGAAGTGAAGTAACAAGCGATGCATTTATGTACATATTTCTTAGGTCAAGTCTCGCCTTGTTGGCGGACATATGGGGTTGAGAACACCGGTGTCGCGGATCTGTTGCTGATCTTGCTAACCATATCAAATTGATCACCCTCGAAGAGAGGACAGGTAATTGCTGTCCACCTAATCGAACAGAAAGGGGCATAATGTTTGCACTGCAGGCAATTGTAGGAGGAGGAATTGAAGAAAGTAGGATACGCATGTGTCGCATTCGGCGGAGGAAAGGCATCGAGCGGGAGAGGAGGACCATAACAACAACAACAACGATGACGATGCTCCCCTCGCCCAAGGTGGGGATTTCCCCGCAAATAGGACTTTGACATTCCAGCTTTTTTTCAGAAATGGTGGTCGATTCGATTAATTTTGTTTTTTCTTTTTCTTTGGTGTGCCTTACGGGTGTAGCGCATCTGTACTATATTGGCGAGTATCAGGGGTCGGTAGAGGAAGGGGTGTACTGGTAATACTGATAAGAAACGTGGAGAGAGAGAGAGAGAGAGAGAGAGAGAGAGAGAGAGAGAGAGAGAGAGAGAGAGAGAGAGATCTGAGGAGGCAGATAGGTTGTGAAGGGGGAGATATGGCGACGGGCGTTACGAATCCAGCAGCCAAAGTCCGCCCAACAGGAGGACCAGTGATAGGCATCGACCTAGGAACGTCGTACTGCTGTGTAGCGGTCTGGCAGAGACATGGGGTGGAGGTCATTGCGAACGAGAACGGTAATCGGATCACGCCATCCTACGTGGCTTTCACGGACTCTGAGCGACTGATTGGAGACGCAGCGAAGAACCAGGCGGCTATGAATGCGGAGGACACGGTCTATGAGGTGAAGCGATTGATCGGACGCAAGTTTAGCGACCCGATGGTTCAGAAGGACATTCGAGTGTGGCCTTTTAAAGTGGTGGCAGGGAGGGCGGGTGAACCTCTGATAAGGATAAAGACGAAGGAGGCGGGAGAGAAGCTGTACACACCCGAAGAGATCTCTGCGATGCTGCTGGGGAGGATGAAGGAGATTGCGGAAGGGTACCTTGATTGCGAGGTCAAGGATGCTGTGATAACCGTACCTGCGTACTTCAATCATGCTCAGAGGCGGGCAACGAAGGACGCGGGCGCTATCGCGGGACTGAATGTGCTGAGGATAGCGAACGAGCCGACGGCGGCGGCGTTAGCATACGGTCTGCATCGGGATCTGCTGTATCACGAAGAGGAGATGAAGACGGTGATGGTGTTCGATCTCGGCGGCGGGACGTGCGACGTGTCGGTCATGGAGGTGGGGCGTAGGAAGTCGACGGTGATTGCACTGTCGGGAGACACGCATCTGGGGGGGGTGGACTTCGACGAGCGACTGCTTAATTACGTGTTAGAGCTGAGCAAGGGTCCTGAGGACGAGTCGATCTTGAGAACCCCAGGTCGGTTGATGTACCTCCGTCGAGTGTGCGTGCAGGCCAAACACGAGCTGTCGGCGCGCTTCCACACCTCGATCGAGGTCGATCCCAACGCCAGCATCTGTGTCCCGGTCAGTCGCGCCGCGTTCGAGGAGATCAATCGGGATCTGTTCGACAAGTGCATAGAGTTAGGGAAACAGGCGTTGGAGGGGGCGAAAATTCCCGCCAGCAAGGTCGCCGACGTGATCTTGGTTGGCGGGTCGACGCGCATCCCTAGAATCCAATTCATGCTCAAAGAACTGTTCGGCGGTCGCAATCCCAAGAAGTCTATCAATCCCGACGAGGCGGTGGCATACGGCGCCGCCGTCCTCGGCGCGATCCTGACCGCAGATGAGAATTGCCGACTCAAAGACCTAACCATGGTGGAAGTCACTGCGCTGAGCTTCGGTGTGAATCGCGTCGCCTGCTCGACGGACACCAGGAACATGTGGCTGATGGACAAGGTGATCCCTCGAAACACCCCGATTCCGGCGACGGGAGAGAGCGTGAGGTGCACGTTATTGGATTTCCAGACGAGGATGTCCTTCTTCGTGTACGAGGGAGAAAGGGCGCTTTGCAAGGACAATCACTATGTCGGTAAGCTCACGCTGTCGGGATTGCAACAGCTGCTGAGAGGGCAGTCGAAAGCCGTTCTGACGCTGTGCGTGGATGAAGACGGGATACTGCACGCGGAGGCGCGGGAGATGGCGACGGGGAAGACGTGCTGCGCTACCATCACCATGGACAAGGGAAGGTTGTCCAATGAGCAGGTGAGTAAGATGATCAGGGAAGCGAAGACGTGTCATGAGGATGACGAAGTGACGAGGAAGAGATGGTTCGTCAGGAATGATCTGGAGGAAAAGGCGCGGAGTGTGCGGGCGCGCGTGAAGGAGAGGGTAAGTTCCTCGCCCGCGGATGCCGCTCTTGAGGCGCACGTGGAAGAGCTGCTGAAATGGTTTCAATCGCAGACGGCGCTGCCGACAGAAGAGGAGTGTGAAGCGAAGAGGAAGGAGCTCGAGAAGAAAGAGTTGGAGGCGATGATTAGTCGGGCGCGGTCGAAGTCCTAGGTAGGTAGGGTGGTGGTGGGGCGCGCACTACTGTAAGTCACGCGCACTGGTACTGGGATTTTACTTGCTGCTGGCAGTTTCGTTTCGCCCTGGATGTATTTGACTGTGGTTAGGACTAGATTAGGTCGCAAAAAACGTTTTTAGTTCGAGAATGACTGTAATTGGCCAAGCTAGACTTGGAGGGAGCTTCGCTGTTTTCTCTCTCCTGTTCCGGGAGGGACTTGACTTTTTTTTTTCCTTCCCGCTTTCCTGGTCCCCTCTCTCCCGCCGCCGCCGCGCGCTATCCCTCTCCCCCTCTCCCCCCCTCGGCCCGTCCCCCCCCCGTTCCCCCTCTTTCCCCCTCGCCCAAAGAAACTTTTTTCTTCCTCCTCCCCCCCGCCCCCCCTTCCCCCCACTGTAGATTCCCCTCCGATTAACGAGTTAGTTGAGAGTCCTTACGTTGCAGACAGGTATGTGATGATGAGCGCGCATTATGATGATCGTCATCATCATCATCCTGAATGCTCGGCATTCCTTAATTGAATAATCGAGTGTAATTGATGGTTGATCGATTACGCCACCCACAGATGGTGTGATTGGACCGTAGGCTTGGCTGGTCGATTGATTAGTTAGAGAGGGTTTGGTTGGATAAATGAGTGGTGAATTGGCGGCTTCTGCGTGCTTCTTGGCCCGGGGCAAGGGAAGGGTCTGATTGGATGGTGGCAAGGTTGTGGCGAGTCGATCGATTAATTAGATTGGCTAGTTGGGTAAGGAGGGGGTGAGTGTCTGACCCGAGCGAGGAAAGCGGGTGATTGAACTGTGACGTTGACGGGTTGATTGATTATTGAGGCTGGCAGGTTGGAGAGTTGGGTGGTGGGTGAGTGGGCGGCGGCAGCAGCTTCAGATTGCTTGGTCCGAGCGAGGATAGCGGGGGTGATTGGACCTTAGGGTTGGCGGATTGATTGATCCAATTGAATGAGATTGGCTCTTTGGAGAGTTGGGCGGTGGGTGAGTGAGCGGCGGGGGGGGCTTTAGAGTGTTGCTTCGTCCAATCAAGGAGAGCGGGTGATTGGACCGTACGGTTGACGGGTTGATTGATTGGTTGGTTGGGTAATTAGGTGGTGGGAGAATTGGACCGTACGGTTGACGGGTTGATTGATTGATTAATCAGATTGATTGGTTGGGTAATTAGGTGGTGGGAGAGGAGGGGGGGGGGGTTAGCGTGCTTGACGGAGGGCGATGCTATGCATGACTGGCTGGCGGCGGCCGTGTGGAAAAGCGAGAAGGAGAACGCCTTCTCAGAGGAGGGTGCACGGACCGAGTCTTGCGAATGAGGGTGGTCGCTTGCTGTTTTCTTTCCTGATCCGGTATGGCCCTTTCCCCCCCCCCCCCCCCCCCTCTCTATCTCTTTTCTGACTTGAAGGACTTGAAGCCGCGTCTAAAGACAAGGAGATTGAGTGAATAGGGTCTCTAAAGAAAGGCTATTTTTCACAGTTGTCGCGGGAGGGTGAAGTTCCATCGCAGAAAGATACAAGGTACCTGAAGAGGGGTGAAGAGAGAGGAAGAGGGACAGATGATGGGAAGGGAGAGGGGAGAGGGTTGGTCCCAACTCCTGCACATGGAGGGTTTTCGTCGAAGACTCCGGTGGAAGTGGGAAGGCGGAGGCGGGGGAGGAGAGATCCACGTGGTGTACGGCGAAAAAAGCGGGTGGTGACGATGGAGATAGAGCGGGGGATGAAGGGGGATGAATGGGGATGAAGGGGGAGAGAGGGTGGCCTATGGAAACAGTCAGAGAGAGGAGAGAAAGAAGGCTATGGTGCGTCCAAACATAGACATCGGTAGGGAGAGGAGGAGGTGTAGACGACGACAAAGGGTGGAAATCGGGGGGATAGAACGCGGGCGGGAGAGGAGAAAAACGGGGGTTGCAGCAGTAGGGTTGGGAAAGATGGTGAACATGCAGCAGGGGTGACGGAGCGTGGAACGAAGAGAGAGAACTTTGGGAGAAAGAGGGGGGTTATTGACCAACAAAAACCCACGTTGAATAGAGGCGACCTGTGCGGCTAGCGCGAGTGATACTGACGAATGAAGAGTGAGGTCGGATCACCACCGGCGAGGCAAGAGAGCAGCAGCGCTTCCACGAGAGACGACGAGAGCGCATCCTGCGCATGGGAGAAGAGAGAGAGAGAGAGAGAGAGAGAGAGAGAGAGAGAGAGAGAGAGAGAGAGAGAGTCGGATCACCACCCGCGAGGCAAGAGAGCAGCAGCGCTTCCACGAGAGACGAGGAGAGCGCATCCTGCGCATGGGAGGAGAGAGAGAGAGAGAGAGAGAGAGAGAGAGAGAGAGAGAGAGAGAGAGAGAGAGAGAGACGCGATCTGATCAAGTTCCGTCTGAGGGTCCTAACGCTCTTGTTCTTTCACCAGCTCCCTTCCCTTGAGAGAGACACTGCCTGCCTGCGTTCATAATCCCTTTGAAAATCTCATTCTTTGGAGTTCTCTTTGTAAAACGGTTTTTTCTTGTCCTGTACAGAATAGAGAGCAGTGGGAGACACGGAGGTGAAGAGTAAAGAGAAAACGTGACACGGAGGTGACGATTAAAGAGAAAACGTTTCTTCTATTGGAAGCAAGAAGGAGCATCATTTTTCTTTTGCCGGTTCCGCTTGGCGTGTTTCGAAAATGTTCTTCTGCATCCGTCTTATGTTTTTGTCTCTGTCATTTGCCCTCGACGATTCATGTTCTTCTTCTTGAATGTGCTTCCATTCTTCAACATCCCTGTGTTTTTGTCTTTTCCATTTTGTCCTTTTGTTCGTGCTTGTCGTATATTCGTTATAAAGACGTACCGACGAAGAAGAATACTGCGGTCGTGGCGCGAGAGCAATTCTTTGTGTCTGTGTGTGTGTGTGTGTGTGTGTGTGTGTGTGTGTGTGTGTGTGTG